TCTTTTCTTTTCTTTTCTTTTCTTTTCTTTTCTTTTCTTTTCAATTTCTTTTCTTTTCTGTTGTTGTTGTTGTTGTTGCTGCTGTTGCTGTTGCTGTTGTTGTTGTTGTTGCTGTTGTTGTTGTTGTTGTTGTTGTTATTGTTGTTGTTATTGTTGTTGTTATTGTTATTATTGTTGTTGTATTGTTGTTATTATTGTTGTTGTATTGTTGTTATTATTATTTTATTTTTTCTTATTATTTTTTTATTATTATTTTTTTTTTCTTTTTTTTTTTTGTAATTGTTATTATAATGGCAATTGTTATTGTTATTATTGTTATCATTATCGTTGTCGTCATTGTTCTTGTTATCATTATCATTATCAGTATTATCATTTTCATTTTCATAGTTATCCTACTTATGGTTGTTATAATTGTAATTGCAGTAATAATGATAAGGATGGCATTGATAATGGCAATGATTATGATAATGATGATAATAATAATTATCATAATTACACTTATAATTATAATTGGAATTATGAAATAAATATAATTATGATTGTAATGATAATTGTAAAGATACTGATGGTGATGATAATAATGATACTGATGGTGATGATGATAATGATACTGATAATGGTAATAAAAATGATAGTTTAATAGTAGCAATAATAATGGTGATGATGATAATGATGATGATAATGATGATGATGATGATGATCTAATCTGATTCATATTCATGTTCTTATTCTTATTCTTGTTGTTGTTTGTGTTGTTTTTGATACTGATAATGATGTTATTGTTATTAGTATTAGTATTTTTTAAATGACACTGATAATTATTGATATTGATATTAATGGTTATATTTATAATTATAAAGTGTTGTTATGGTTATTGTTGGAATGGTTATTAGATATAGTTTTTGTTATTATTGGTTTTGTAATTGTTATTGTAATTATTATGATATATGCCCTTGATGGCATAGTGCATTTATTTGTTTTAACCATTAATTATTATTATAATGTTATGATTTTTGTAATCATTATATTCATTATAATTGCATTTGTTGGCATTGTTATTTATATTATTATTATTTTCATCATCATTATTATTATTAATATTATTTTCATCATTATTATTATTTATAATTATAATTAATGTTATTATTATTATTATTATTATTGTTATTATTATTATTATTATTATTATTAATTCTACTGTTGTTATTGTCATTGTTGTTAATGTTATTATTATTGTTATTAATGTTATTATTATTGTTATTCTGTATATTTATTTATTTATTATTTATTTATTTTATACATTTAATTTATTTTTGATGGATAAGTAGAAAGCTTTTTTTTGAAAAGAAAGAAAAAAGTCATTATATCTTTAGCATATCCTTTGCACATCCTTTGCACATCCTTAGCACATCCTTAGCACATCTTTAGCACATCTTTAGGACATCTTTAGGACATCTTTAGCACATCCTTAGCACATCTTTAGCACATCCTTACCACATCTTTAGCACATCTTTAGCACATCCTTAGCACATCTTTTGCACATCTTTAGCACATCTTTAGCACATCTTTAGCATATCTTTAGCACATCTTTAGCACATCTTTAGCATATCTTTAGCACATCTTTAGCATATCTTTAGCACATCTTTAGCACATCCTTAGCACATCCTTAGCACATCCTTAGCACATCTTTAGGACATCTTTAGCACATCCTTAGCACATCCTTAGCACATCCTTAGCACATCCTTAGCACATCCTTAGCACATCCTTAGCACATCCTTAGCACATCTTTAGCACATCCTTAGCACATCCTTAGCACATCTTAAGCACATCTTTAGCACATCCTTAGCACATCTTTAGCACATCTTTAGCACATCTTTAGCACATCTTTAGCACATCTTTAGCACATCCTTAGCACATCCTTAGCACATCTTTTCACAGAGTGCTTTTTCCCTAATGTTCTTCCTCCGTTTCCAGATGACCTTAGTAACCCAGAGCCAGATCCAGATTACACAGAGTACATGGCAGGGTCGAATAAGAAGCTGGCGGGGATACCTGGCGTTGACCTCTCAGACCCTAAGCAACTTGCCGAATTTGCCAAGATAAAGCCAAAGAAATCTAGTAGCGACGACATTGCAAGAACTATCGCATGTCCGCATAAGGTGGGTATTTTTTTTTTTTTTTGACCGGTGGTGTGGAGGTATTTGTTTTGCCGTTTATATTTCTGTTACAGTCAGTAACAAATGGTTTTGAATTCTCGTTGATGGACTAGGTAATTGAATGTTATCTTTATATCTATATCTATGTCTGTGTCTGTGTCAGTCTGCCTATCTACTATTCTAATGTATGTATATATATTTATATATACTGTGCATATCCTTGTTTATTTTTGAATTAGGCAGATATTAAAATTGGGTCATTTGCTGCAAAATAGTTACTTTTATTTTTCACCTGACCTTAAAAAGCTGGTTCTCATAACTCTTTTATTTAACAGGGTTGCAACAAAATGTTTCGTGATAATTCAGCAATGCGTAAACATCTACATACACATGGTCCAAGAGTGCATGTATGTGCAGAGTGTGGGAAAGCCTTTGTGGAATCTTCTAAACTTAAAAGACATCAGCTGGTGCACACAGGAGAGAAACCGTTTCAGGTAATCATGAGATGTAAGATATGAAGGTTCATTTTGACAAATATAGAAGAAAAGTACAGGAATTAGAATGAAATGAATAAAATCCTTTTTTTTTGCTCTGAAGTTCTTCTCGTTTGTACCTTTTTTTTTTTTTTTTTTTTTTTTTTTTTTTTTTTTTTTTTTTTTTTTTTTTTTTTTTTTTTTTTTTTTTTTTTTTTTTTTTTTTTTTTTTTTTTTTTTTTTTTTTTTTTTTTTTTTTTTTTTTTTTTTTTTTTTTTTTTTTTTTTTTTTTTTTTTTTTTTTTTTTTTTTTTTTTTTTTTTTTTTTTTTTTTTTTTTTTTTTTTTTTTTTTTTTTTTTTTTTTTTTTTTTTTTTTTTTTTTTTTTTTTTTTTTTTTTTTTTTTTTTTTTTTTTTTTTTTTTTTTTTTTTTTTTTTTTTTTTTTTTTTTTTTTTTTTTTTTTTTTTTTTTTTTTTTTTTTTTTTTTTTTTTTTTTTTTTTTTTTTTTTTTTTTTTTTTTTTTTTTTTTTTTTTTTTTTTTTTTTTTTTTTTTTTTTTTTTTTTTTTTTTTTTTTTTTTTTTTTTTTTTTTTTTTTTTTTTTTTTTTTTTTTTTTTTTTTTTTTTTTTTTTTTTTTTTTTTTTTTTTTTTTTTTTTTTTTTTTTTTTTTTTTTTTTTTTTTTTTTTTTTTTTTTTTTTTTTTTTTTTTTTTTTTTTTTTTTTTTTTTTTTTTTTTTTTTTTTTTTTTTTTTTTTTTTTTTTTTTTTTTTTTTTTTTTTTTTTTTTTTTTTTTTTTTTTTTTTTTTTTTTTTTTTTTTTTTTTTTTTTTTTTTTTTTTTTTTTTTTTTTTTTTTTTTTTTTTTTTTTTTTTTTTTTTTTTTTTTTTTTTTTTTTTTTTTTTTTTTTTTTTTTTTTTTTTTTTTTTTTTTTTTTTTTTTTTTTTTTTTTTTTTTTTTTTTTTTTTTTTTTTTTTTTTTTTTTTTTTTTTTTTTTTTTTTTTTTTTTTTTTTTTTTTTTTTTTTTTTTTTTTTTTTTTTTTTTTTTTTTTTTTTTTTTTTTTTTTTTTTTTTTTTTTTTTTTTTTTTTTTTTTTTTTTTTTTTTTTTTTTTTTTTTTTTTTTTTTTTTTTTTTTTTTTTTTTTTTTTTTTTTTTTTTTTTTTTTTTTTTTTTTTTTTTTTTTTTTTTTTTTTTTTTTTTTTTTTTTTTTTTTTTTTTTTTTTTTTTTTTTTTTTTTTTTTTTTTTTTTTTTTTTTTTTTTTTTTTTTTTTTTTTTTTTTTTTTTTTTTTTTTTTTTTTTTTTTTTTTTTTTTTTTTTTTTTTTTTTTTTTTTTTTTTTTTTTTTTTTTTTTTTTTTTTTTTTTTTTTTTTTTTTTTTTTTTTTTTTTTTTTTTTTTTTTTTTTTTTTTGACCGGTGGTGTGGAGGTATTTGTTTTGCCATGTATATTTCCACAACACAGTATAAACAGATATCAAGATGACGGCCATTAAAGAAGATAAGGTTTATGCTAGTTAGAGGAGGATTAGATTGAAAAGTATTTTTTTAAAATGTATATATATATATATTTGATCTTGGATCTGTTTCAGAAATAATATGCGAGGAGCACCAAGTACAACACCCCAATATGAAACCGATTACAACTCGACGCAACAGTATGTTCAGGTGGAGATGCCGTCGCCAGATGACCAACAGTTTGTTATCTATTCAAGCTAAATATTATCCAAGTTTTAGTGGTATTGACTAGAGACAAAATGTTTGGTGTTACACCAGTGTATTTTTTATGCCAATAACATTTCCTGGAGTTGCCGGTGGTTGCTGACTAGAAAACATACCATACCTATTTAGGTGTACATTTTGAACATGTGGAAAGAGATGTTATATTTAAGAAGTGCTTTATGATGAGATGTGTATGATATACGTATTTGGAGACAACTCATTCTTCACAATGAGAGTGATTTAATAAAGAATTAACCAAGACATGGATACTTTAATTTCGACTGATTTCTACTTCAGCGGCAGAAGAATGGTACAGGGCGCGAACTGGAATGGGAAACACCATGTAGACATTTGGTCAAAGCATGAGGTTTTTAGGCTGTCAAAAGTGTTGTCCAAGGCAGGTAACCTTGTAAATAGCATCCCTCTTTGTCATCCTACCTCTTCTCTTCCTTTTCTTTGTGTCTTTATTGTGCATAATCAGTCAGGAAAGAAGTTATTTGATATTTGTTATTTTTATTGTGATTTCTAGAAAGATATATAGGACTTCAATTGCCTTTTACCAAAGGTTTTATGTAAATCTTTGATGTGATCATCTAGATTGAAAGGCAGTGACCAATTATTATAAAGGATGCATGTACTTGTCAGGAATAAGAGAGAGTGAATCTACATGAATGTCATTTTGTGTTTGTAATTGTATTTACTTGAACCTGCACATGCACAAAACAGACATACATGCTTGCACATAAATGGTTACAACTATATGGGAGTAAAAGAGTTTATTAGTCAACCAAAAAAACAAATTAAACGAAAAGAAAATTCTTTCTTTTCTTCTCTCTCTTCCATTAATCTGTGGGAGATCTCTTGACTATAACTGAAAAGTGTGTTGCTTCAGATCATATGAAATTTCATAATTTATTTCGTTATGTTATTACTATAGATGGTTGTTTCATAATACTGCTTTTTTATATTTTGTTACTGATATTAATGTTAGTATTATTACTATTACTTTTTTGCTCATACTATTTAATGCATTGTTATTAGTAATATTATACTGGTAAATTTGTTCCCAGAATGAATGATCTTAGCACTTTGAAGTAAGACATATTTGACAAAGTGAATTAATATGTGTATTTGTGTTATTCCAGGCAAAATAGGCCATTTTCTTAGAAATTGGTTATTTTTTCCGTTACCTTGCAGGCTCTGTTCTGAGAGAGTAAAGAGCACTAATTAAGAATAAAAGGTTATATATTATCCATCAAAGCAGTATAAAGAAACAAACCTTCAGCATTCGTTTTTTCAATTTGTGGGAGCTTTTCAGTAGGTCAGGCAGCAATGCATAAGAAAATGGCTTAAAATCTTGATTTTAGTAATATTGTGTGTATGTGTATTTCTGTGTGTGTGGGATAAATGGCAAGATGTGGCAGCCGTCAAAGATTGTTGTCAACAGTTGATTTTTTTCTGTAACTATGTGCAGTCTTCTATTTTATTTATTTATTTTTAAAAATTTATTGTTGTTTTTTATTGTTTTGGTTTTGTCTGAAATGAGAAATTAAAAAGAATCATATATTGATTTGACTATGTAAAACTAGTAGAAAAGAAAAACAAACAGGTTTGTAAATTTTGAAGTAAAGTTTCAGTCTTGCTCATTTTCTTCATCTGATACATACCTTTGGGACTTAAAAAAGAATAATAATTTTCTTTAGAACGACTGATTTTACAGCTACATCTATTTTACTTATCAAACAGTATTCAAAATATCTGTAGGTATGCAGGTAAGATAACAATTTTTTGGTATGTGTTATCTTGATGGTAATCAGTCATGTGAACCAAAAAATTGAGTTGAAAACTATTGAAACTAATTTCTAATAGCAAAGCAGCAGATGGTATAAATGGCATTTAAGTGTTTTATGCACAATGGTTTGTATCTGTGGACTTTTAGTTAGGTCTTTTGAATCTGTTTGAATTGTTATTTTTGTTACTTTTGTGTATTGAGGAGCTAGGAGGATATGCAAATGTACCCAGAATATTTGGTGTGTAGTAACTTAAACTTGAGTAAAACTGTGTCGTACTGAGAGGAGTGTATGTAGTTAAGTTTGCTAAATGTAAAGATCTCACTATATTTATTTTGTCAAAACAGAGTGCTCTGAAGTATGTATCTTGTCTCAAAACAAATATATGACAAATGAAGTGGTTCTCAGACAATGCCATCGTTGCTTGTACTAACAGTATTTTGATGCTAATATAACAAGGATGAAGGTAACAGTACAATTATCAGTTAAGTTGTGTAGGAAAGGAATAATGATTATGTGAAGTGATTAATAATTTTTGTTACTAAACCAGGTCAAATGTCATCTTCAATAATTTATTGATAACTAGGCAATTTTTGTCCTACAGAGTTCATTAGGACAAATCTGTTTTTTATGATTCTGTGAATCAGAACAGATTTTAAGGAAAAGTATATTTTTAAGGCTAAGAAACAAAGTAACAAATGTTCAGATGCAGGTTTGAAGATTGTATCATTCTAAGCTGATGGCAACATAAGTACTTCTTTGACTTTGAAGAATCAGCTTTTTATGGCTGGTTTACTGGAAAACTTAAGAATTGTTTTATAATTCTGAGCAATCAAATTGCATCCTCTAGAGTAATATTGTGAGTCTCTAAATTGTATTGAAATTTGAATATAGAGACTGTATTCTTTTTTCATAATACTAATTTTATTAGGGCTTTGGTTTAGGTAACCCATGTCTAGCAAAGTCCAATGGATTTGCTTTTCTCTGAAGCTCCTAAATATTGCTTGTTAATATTAGGTAAATATCGTATATTAGGAAATGTGATAAGATTTGTATGTATGGAATTCATTACAATAATGAATATTAGTCAGTTAATAAAAAATCTTTCATTCTGCCTGGTTTTGTAAGCTGTGAAAAAATATATTATTATTATTATTATTATTATTATTTATTTATTATTATTATTTTTTTTTTTTTTTTTTTTTTTTTTTTTTTTTTTTTTTTTTTTCAGTTTTTCTTTTTGTACTTTCACAGTTGTCCACCTGTTCTGTTCTTGAACATCATATACTAATGTTATAATGTGACTACAGTTTGCCCTTTTATTGTCAGAAGTGTGGTGACCAAAGCTTGAATTCATTAAAAATTCTGATTTTGCTTTTCTGTTTATAGAAATTATTTAAGTATCAAGGAAAATATAACAACTTTAGTCAGAGTAAGTTTTCAGTTATAGAGATGGGTTTTAGCTAATTTTCTTCAGAAAAAACTGGATAGGGTTGTGTATATCACTTTTTTTTCTACCTTGGTTTCTTGTTATGACATTTCAAAATTTATTGAAATAAAAAAGCACAGGCAAACAGTAGCCACTGCTTTTCTGAAGAATATGAGCCATACTCTATTTTCTTATTGGCTAAGATAAGTGAAATGAGACATTTGCATTTGAATGTTGTTCTTTATGTTTGTCTCCCCACTAGTTTTGTGTGAAAATACTTCATTTTATATAGTTTGGTCAAATTTTTTGCAAGCTCCTATTATTACACGAGCACTGGCAGTTATTTTAGGCATCCTTGGCACCTAAGACTAACTAATTATTGTTGTTGTTATTATCAATTTATTAAAGAAAACGATTTAAAGTCAAATTTGGGTGGATTTAGGAAATTATATCAAGGATAACAGTTATAATGTCAGAATTGGTTATAAGGCTTAAGGTTGGCAGGTCCAGAGGAGATTCTTGTAGGCTAAAAGTTCTTAAAAGTGTGAGTATCTCATATTGGCCAAAAAGCCTGTGTTCAACCATTTTTGGAGGTGGTGGTTCCTGTAAGAATTTCAAAGGATTCAAATTGTCTTTTTGGACAATAATAATTGGGCACTGAATGGTCTTAAACAAAATGGACCAGTAACTTAGACCAATACCGCCAGGCATGGCATGTTTGTACATGCCATGCCCATTGTGAATTTACTTTATTAATTGTTTTTAATCGTACTAGGTTCCCAATGAGCCAATTATGAGTACTGCCTGTCTTGCCTGTTTACCTTTTTCCTTGATTTATGAAAATATATTACGTTATCTTATTTTGCTGTTACTGATGTTTATAACATTTAGTAATTATAATGTCTATAATAATAATGACATCAATATTGATAGCATTGGTAAAAAAAAGTTTTTCCTACCAATTCAAGGAAAGGTGAAATCGGGTAAGGTCACAAGGTCTACTGATTGACTTCTTTGTGGCTAAGCACTAGCAGAACTATCTATGTGCATAGACATTTCACAAAAAAAAAAAAAATGAGCACAGGATTTTCTTCATCAGCATTGGGTCAAATCATATCCTAGAGAATAATGTTATGCAGTTTGCTGTGTCTATCCAAAATCATGAAAAACACTTCTCACCATACCAAGAAGTCGTGACAAAATGTGTTTCAAGTACATGATTTCAAAATCACTATAATTCCCTTCCAAATAAAAAATACCAGAAGAAATAGTTTATTTATCGAAAAATATTTATGCTTGGATTACTTTTCTCCTGCCAGGTAGTGAACAGAGAAGACAGCTCAGTTGAAGCAAAGGAATCTTAGAATTTTTGTCTTGTGTGACAGCACTTCCAGTGATACAAGTAAACCTTTGGTTTCCGAATCAGAGAAGTCAACTGATAATTCAAGAACTTCCAGATTTTGTAACTTCTTTATCTAACTGCTGTATGTTATGAGAACACAGAATTGTATTGTGGACACCATGAGGCAGACTGATGAGGTTGGAGCATATTCTTTCATCTCACCTTGGTGCCACTGTGGTGTACATCCATACCACGTAGACAGTGTGGTTTGTTATGACGCCAATAAGTGTGGCCCATCATCATCGGGTTAAATGAGCAGTGAGAAACCAGACATCATTCAGCAAAGCATGTTACACATTCTATTGCCAGTGTATCCTGAACTAGATCACATACAGGGGCAAGTTTGATTGGATATGTGAAGACAGAACATGATGGAGCTCCAGGACTCATCTGTGTGGCAGTACGCCCTCCACACCTGCCAGTTATCTCCTCAGAAACACTGGGGTGGGGAAGATACTGGCAACCATGAAGGAATGCACTGCCACCCATGCAGAGCCATTCAACCATATTGTTAGTAGATGTGACCCATGGTTAATTGTTAAAAAGCAAAATAATTGTGCTTGACAAGGTCATGTATCACTATAGGAAGGTATAGTATGAAAAAAGGTAGAGAGGGGCGAGTTAATAATTAAATCTGCTACATGTTAAAAATCATCGAGTTTAGGATGGTACTGAAAAGGGTAAAAGGGGGTGAAGGTAGAGAGGGTGAATAAATGAATTAAGGCAGGGGTAAGAGGAAATCGGATTAAATAGAGGCTGCATCTGAGGAAGGAAAACAAATTGAAAGAGTGGGATTCCACAAGGATCAAGAGGACACTGATGAATGCAGCAGGAAAGATGAACAAGCAATGGTTCAGAAGGATGGCAAAACAGATCTACCAGAACGTTGTTGGACCATCCTTAGATGCTATTACTTGATGTGATATATCAGCAGCAGCAACATCAGTTGACACTGAATCATGAGGACAATGTAGCTGGCAAAACCCATCCTATTCAACTAAAGTATACAATTTTTCCAAAGAAGCTTATTGTAAAGCACTTATTGTAAAATTATACAGCTGTGCACTTTTAGATCTACCATATTTAAATGTGGGAGTGGAGATGGTTAAATTAATGATTAATGGTTAAAGCAAATGTGCTAGACATCACAGGTCATATAGCCCTATATTAAAGTATTGTGGCAAAAAGGGTAAACATGATAATGATTAGGCAAAATGTATTAAATATCAAAGGAAAGAAAGTATGGAAGTAAGAAGGGTAAGAGGGAGAGCAAAGGGAGTAAAGCGGGGATGAGTAAAAGGGGGAAGGGATTAGTGGTGTAGGGGGTTAGATCAAACGGAGAGAATCTGTGCCTAGGGAAGAATAACACAGCAAGACCCATTATTAAGCAATCATTCAGTAATAATGGTAGGATTGAGTGTTCTAGAAGTAGAGGGCAAAAAATCCAGATAATGACATAAGGAAATGGGTAGGAAGTAAAGTATAAGGAGGGGAAAGTTTAGGAGAAAGACACTGTTGTGATGAAAGGGAGTTACATGAGCATCCAAGTGGGAGCGCTAAGGATAATAGGGAAAAGAGGAAATGGTGCACATGGAGAAGGGGAGGATGGGGTGTGTTGGGGAGAGTGGGAGGAAAAGGAGTAGGAGGAGGATGGAAGTTGGGTGGATGAGAGAGAAGAGTGTTCACTTGGGTCATATTTTGGAAGTTTTGGATGTCCTCGAGTTTCTGGAAGGGAGTCATCATGGGAAGGGGGAGGAGCAGAACAAAAGAGTGTTGGAATAGGGAGATAGAGAAAAATGTCTGTGACATGCTTCCGTCTGGCCTTGTGTAGATTGAGGACTAGTTTGAATCTGAGAACTGCTACCTTAGACTCAAGCTTGTAGCACCTATAAAATACATTATGGGAGCCACCACAATTGGCACATATGTGTGATTGTGCATAGCAATGTGAACAATCATGACTAAGTTGGGCGCATAAAGGGCAGCAAATAGACAAAACGCCAACATTTCTGATAGACTGGGAAGGGGTCAATATTGTTGGACGGGACAGGACAAGCAGGTCATTTTCACAGTCTGACCAATGCTTGTCAAAGATATAGCAATCAGACAGGGAGATTGAAACAGTTCCAGTAGAGAATTAAGGGAGGAATGATATTGGGCAGGAGTACGTTTGCCAGTGAGGGTAGCTAATGTAACAATTACAATGGACTGGTGGTGAAACAAAACTGCCTACTTGTTTTTGAAAACATGATTGGAAGAGGAGGATACTGTCAGAGTAAAGTTCAGTTGGGGGAATCACAAAGAATTGATCCCATTAGGGGGGTACAAAAGTTACTCAAAAGGTATGTAGGGGTGGGCGTAGTAGAAGGGCAAGGGTGGGGGGGAGGTAGTAGTGTGGAGTGTAGTACTGTAGGGATGAAGAGTAGTAATATGGGAGGAGGGAGCTGAAAATTAAGACTATGCAGGAGGAGGAAGTGGAGTGGATGATGTTGGGGGACAGGAGGGGATGTATTCTGAATGGCCTGGGTAGATGATTTGGTATTGATAGAGTGGACATCATCAAGGTGGGTGCAGTGGTAGTAGTAGTGGTCAGGATCAAAGGAGAGGCAGGGGTTGGGAAACCAGTGAAGTCAAATTTAGATTGGCTAATTGATGAAGCAGCAAGCCTTAATGCCCCTAATTAGGGCATAAAATCATCATTATTGGCTATGGTGAGTCTGAAATATGTGGGGAAGAGAAATGGTCAATCCCTTATCACCCCCCCCCCCCCCAATCTCTTACTGTTGTTAGGGGGGGGTAGGAGATGCAGGGAATCACCCTTGCCGTGGGCCTCAGCCCTCGCCTCAACTAATTTTGCAGGGTCTTTTCTTCCTCTTTCCTTTTCCTTATCTTCTTCACCCCCTTCTCTCCACTTATCCAAATTGCTAACTATATTTACCCTTTTTGCCACAATACTTTACCATAAAGCTGTGTATCTTTGTCTGGAACATTTGTTTCTATTGACCATGGACCATTCTGGAAATTCACAAACATCGCCTTACTGAACCAAATAATGCCCTTACCCCTGGGGGCTTCGCTCCCAAGACTGACAGAAGAGATTGAAGAAGAGAATAAATACGATAGAGGGAGAAATGACCATGCAAAATTTGTTAACCCAAAGGGACCATGTATCAGAAATCTGTCATAAACTCTGGTGATTTCTGGCAACGTCCAGACACTGGGTGTGGGAGTCCACTACATGAAGCGGAACTTCTGCCTCATATGCTCTGGCATATGTGCGTACAGCTGTACCCCACAGACCAAGCAGTTTACTATGACAGGATGGGGTTAAGCTGAGGGCTGAGGCCACAGTAGGGATGATCCCTAGCACTGGTCCACAGTTCCCATCCCCCCAGAGTAACAACAGGCATGAATTTGATGGTTGCAGAAGTGGAGAGACTGCTGATTCCCAATGATGATAAAACTGCAATAGTCTGAGGAAGCATTTATTCAGCTGGAAGTGTATTGTTCAGGAAAAGTTTTACATACTTGATATTTTTCCTCTAGTGTGGAATTGCAAGATTTTTGATTCTTACAATTTAATTATTTAAATTGCTATGTAAGATTTCCATCTGAATCTTTAAAAATGAGCCACAACAAGATACTTTCCAGATGCAGAAGTGTTAGTGTACTATTTCTGCAAACTATATCCATGTTCAAAATGGAATGTTTTGGGAAGATGTGGCTCATACTGTCCTCTAACAGTGTCCTCATAAAAATTGTTCTACGGCTATCTCATTAACCTGGTAATTCAAGTGTTCTGATACATAAGAGGTGTTCTACCTTCCTACCTTGTGAGCTATTTAACATACAGTAGGCTGTTAACCTCTTGGATCTGGGAGACATGACTATCACATCATGATTTTTTTTTTTTTTTTTTACTCATTTGGCAATTTTGCACTTTTCCTATTGATGTATGTGTGTGGAATGAAATGTCCGTGAGCTGAATACAATTATCAGCATTGTATTCCTCGCACCACGAGTGGCGACACAGGTTGTTTTACAGAAAATTGAATATTACATTAAAAAAAAGGGCAAATAACATTGTTTTACTTTTTAGGTTGTCTACAAGTCTGTGCAAATAAATAAATAAAAGGGGGGGGGGGCAAAAATACAATTACCATGTGGAGAATGCATATATAGCTTTTGGAAAATGGCCAAAAAGCTAAAATGCTTATGCCTAAAAGGAGTAAATAATTTTGCAAATAGGAGGCAGAGAATCATGCCACTGCACAGCAGTGTTTGTGCATACCTGGCAGAGCAGCACTCATGTAAGCCTAACGCCCGGTTTTTGGTGATTTGATTGCCGTGATGCAACCAGATCCAATGGGTTAACCATAACAATTGGACAACAACTTTGCTCCCTTTAGCACTTGGTTCTGTCACTGCCACACTTTGTTAATTCTAGTGCTACTTTAACAGCCTGTTTACTTTCCAAAATATGATATACTCTACAGCTATACAACATGGTAAAAACAACAAATTGATTTTGTAGAAAATTTTACTTGATAGATTTTATAAACATCCTGCTAAAACATGGTTTCACTGGTTTATTTTCATCTATATTAAGGTGTTCTTTTATGTAAAGATGTTGATAGAAATATTTTCAGTAAACAAGATTTTTCTGCACAACATGAAACACTATTTCCTACAACTAAAAGTTAATGTTTGAACTACAAATTTCATGACAGTAATGTATCCACATCATCACTATTATATTTCCAATATATTTAAAAGTTTGTATGGTGAGGAAGAAGGGAAATCATACTAAAATTATATTCATAAAGAAAATAAATATAATACATAAAAATTATAAGCAATGTCACATCTTTCTCAAATGTGTCTACATGCCTTTTCCTTCTACCTTCATGAAAGTGAAATCAACATAAACACATTCTTCAATAACAACATAACTCATTATAAAGAATACAGCCACTTAAAACACCCCATAAATCTATAAGTCAAAATAACTGGACCAAAGGACTATACACATTCATATCCATATGGTTCTCTTCAATTCTTCCTCTGGCGGTCTCTTCATCACTTGAGCAGCGACCACTTCAGCTGTTCACGGGCAGACTGAAGAACCTGTATAAGACAGAAGAGAAGTGGTTCAATCATCCTCGCTACACGAATAGAAGATGTATCACTCACATATTACGGTCAAACATGTAACTGATATAGTGGCAAGACTTGAAGATCCTTGCAAAAAATATGTATTTAGAATATCAACTCGGCAAAAAATATAGCATTTAGGCAGACAGCTTGAGTGTGTTAGTAGTGCAAAACAATCAGGGATAATTAGATGAAAACAGATTGTGAAAGGAGGAGGAGGAGGAAGAGGAAACAGAAATAAAAGTGTGTGTGTGTGTGTGTGTAGTTACAACATATCAGGAGTATTTCTGTGAAAGACTGTGTTCTTGCATGTGAATGAGAATGAAGAAAAGAATGAAATTAAGTGAACCATTTGTGAGTTGGGTGTCAATACCTGTGTGCAAAACAAAAAGCAATGATGCACTTACACCAATGTTATTTGCAAAACAGAATATATATATAAAAGGTATAGATAAAATTGCCACATGAGAAAGGTGTTTTTACTCTTAAATCTAGGAAACAACATGGTGATGTGCACTGATCGCAGTTTCATTCTGTGAGAATAATAAATCTGCAAAAGCAATTTAATTGAAAAAAAGAGAAAAATACAAGAACTTCAAACCATTCTATAATTCCCTCACCTTTTATTTCTTGGAAAAAACACCTAGCTTAACTAGCTGTCTTGAAAAACTGAGAAAAACAGAGTGAGAAGGCAAGAGCATAGAGAGAGGGAAAGGAGAGAGAAAAAGAAAGTGAGAAAGAAAAGAAAGGAAAGAAAATATGTGGGAAGGAATGTAAAAGGGTAGGGAGGGAGGGCGAGAGAAAAGGAGAGAGGTGGGAGAGAGGGAGAAAGAGAAAGAAAGAAAGAAAGAAGAAAAAAAAGTAAGTGAGGAAGGGAAAGGAGAGTGGGAGATAGAGAAATAGAAAGCAAGAGAGAGAGAGAGAGAGAGAGAGAGAGAGAGAGAGAGAGAGAGAGAGAGAGAGAGAGAGAGAGAGAGAGAGAGAGAGAGAGAGAGAGAGAAAGGGGAAAGAGAATGAAATTCACTGAATGTCCACAAAATTCACCCTTTATGCAAGAGGTTTTACAAAACTGTTCACCGACCTTTTATTTCAATATATGACATGAAAACATAAAGAAAACATAGACAATAACACAGTAGGACACATTATTAATTTAATTGCATAGACTGAATCTGTTACCTTTTATTCAAATAGCCTTATATATTATTTTATCATGTGCATTGTACTTACTTAAATAATTTATTAGAATTTTAGCTTGTATGTTCAAAAGAGGAAGTGAAAAGAAGGAGGGAGAAGAGAAAAGAGGAAGAGAGAGGGAGGGAGAGACAAGAGAAAAGAGAGAGGGAAAAGAAGGGAGAGAGAGAAAGAGGGAGGGAGAAGGGAGAAGAGAAAAGAGAGAGAGAGAGGGGGAGGGAGAAGAAAAGAGAAGAGAAGAGAGAGGAAGATAGGATGTATACTCAGACATCCATAACCATATTCACAGTTTGGAGTACACACGCACGCACGCACATTCACATGTGTGCACCCCTACTTTGTACATGCACCAACCAATGTGTGCACCTTCACACCCACACCCACACCCACACCCACACACTTGCACCCACACTCAACCCCACCCCACTCCACACATATTCAAATGTGTGCAACCCCTCTTCACACATGCACCAACCCTTACTTGCACTTAAACATGTGCTCACCCCCCTCCCCCACACTCACACATATGCATGCATACATGCACGTACAAACCTGCAAAACACACACACACACACACACACACACACACACACACACACACACACACACACTCACACTCACACTCACACTCACACTCACTCACTCCTCCTCTCTCTCTCTCTCTCTCTCTCTCTCTCTCTCACTCTCTCACACACACACTCTCACTCTCTCACACACACACACTCACTCTCTCACACACACACACTCACCCTCATACTCACACACACACACTCACTCTCTCACTCTCACTCACTCACACACACACTCTCACTCTCTCTCACACACACACACTCTCACTCTCTCACACACACACTCTCACTCTCTCACACACACACTCTCACTCTCTCACACACACACACTCACTCTCTCACACACACACACACTCACTCTCTCACACACACACACACTCACTCTCTCACACACACACACACTCACTCTCTCACACACACACTCACTCTCTCACACACTCTCACACACACACACACACTCTCACACACACACACACACACTCTCACACACATTCACACACACACTCTCACACACTCACACGCACACTATCACACACTCACACGCACACTCTCACACACTCACACGCACACTCTCTCACACTCACACACACACACTCTCACACTCTCACTCTGTCTCTCTCTCTCACTCACTCACTCATTCACTCACACTATCACTCATTCACTCACACTCTCACTCACTCGCTCACACACACACGCACACACACACTTACTTTGTAATGCTTGTACAGACGTATGAAAATAAACTAACAAGTAAAATATGAGTAAACACACATCACTACAAATGAGTGTATGCACTTCCAAAGGGGGTCACAGAGCATTTGCGTTTATCAGATGTTTTGTAGAATCTAGCTTTCACCTACAACATAACCATCAATATCATCACTTTAATGCAGTACAGCCATGAGAGAGAGAGTGCATTACCATGAATATATAATTTCTCATGCTATAGATGATGGTTAAAACTGACAAAACATTCAATAAACATATTGTTTGAGGCCCTCTTTGGATGTGCATACCTTCGAATCTAAGTGCAGTTTTTCTCTACTTTGCCTTAACACGTCTAACGAATGCAGCAAATTCCTTCACCTCTGGCCTGTGGCGGTGATTAAGCAAGACCCCCAAGCTTGATGCAAAGTATGAATGGCAACCACTTCTTAACTTTTACTTCACACTTTTTTTTTCTTTCTTTCTTTTTTCAAGAAAACAATAAGATTTATTTCTGATTTCTTTCTACAACTCAATTTGGACTGTATCTTGTTTTTCTGAGAAATATATGCATAATTTACCAATGGCAAAGAAAGCTAAGAAGCGTCTCACCAAAACAATTTCCACTAAAGTGACTCTACAGCTTCCACCTGTCTCATTCCAGCTCAAAGGAAGTCTTAACTATATTACCTAATGATGAGAAACTATGTGGAAAAGAAAAGAAAAAGCACACAAAACCACTAATAATGGGGAAAAAAAAAATAAATAAATAAATTAAAAATAAATAACCAAAATAAAAATACACAAAAAAAAGAAACATCAATTGAGAAGATAAACAAATATGTCACTGAAGTCCCAACTCACAAATAGCTACACTTACCGCGCCTGTTGTGGACTCGAGTTTCTGGCGCACTTG